AATAGGTAATATTAATATAACTTAAAGCAATTTGAGATAAGACCATGTTAGTTGTCATGTGCGATATACGCTCCGGAATCATATTGTAAAAACGTATACGATTCCCCATAAAAGAATCATTTACCTAAGCGCGCGATTTAAAGGTCTAAGCAACACAGCAACTGTTATGGACAGGCATGTCGCTTACCACCAGGCGCACGACTTTTTCGTCCTGTTACTTGGTACTTTAAAAGAAAATATCGCCACCAGGTTGAACCGTCAACCTCTCAATTAAAATTGTGTGATAATATGAATCGAAGAAAAGGACTCCACGTCAAGCTCATAAAATATATTCTTGTTCTTCCACTATCATATCCTGTTATCAAGCAAGTGAGGTACTCGCATACAACTGCGTCCGTCTAAACGAGCGCACAGTCAAGGTCAATCCATCTATTATGGTGTGTAAATCACGCGGGTTAATCTAACCACACTGGCTGATGAATTAACTTTGAAAAACTTTATTCATTACTTGCAAAGGTCACTTTTGTGTCGAATATTAGTTTAAAATTAACATTGTCCCCGATTCCGATAAACGCAGACTAAATTTAAGTTAAAACCACCTATATCTTTTATTTAGTGTTTAATCGAGAATATTCTCGACACATATTCGAGGCACCTTGCATTTTTATATTTAAAGCGCTTGGATACAATTTTGTAGCCTGGTGTTAAGCGACATGCCTATCCATAGCAGTTGCAGTTGCATAGCTCAGAGCGTTAAAGCACTCTACACACCGAACCCGCCACAACACAGGGTTGATGGCGGCGGCGTCCTTATTCCTATAAGATTCTTAGAAATTCTTACACGATATTTAGAAATAAGGCCGCCGTCACCAACCCTGCCGGCTATATTGCCGGGTCGGCGGGTTCGGTGTGTAGAGCCCTTTAGCAAATAGCTGCGGAATATTTTCACTGCCCCTGTCACTTTGAGACATAACTTGACAAGTCCCATGTGCCTGTAATTTCACCATATCCCTTACCCTTCCAAAAAGAAATTTAAGAAGATGTTACGGTCATTCTAATACAATGTTCACTACCTAATTTCTGTAGCAAGTTTTATTTTTTACATACTCAAGTATTTATCGTATGACTATTAAATAATATTGCACGATAAAACATTCTAATATTTAAATAATATAAATTATCACGAAAATTAGGTAGTGAACACTGTAGTAGGCCTAGGCCTTACAGGGCCTACCATAGCCTTTCAAAAAACAATCTTATTTCAATGTAAGCTTATAGTAAGCTTATTATAATATCATTCATATACGTGACAAACCTATCAACCAAGTAATGTATTATTGCTAAAGTGACTGAAAGAACGAATAATTTCCTAATATTGTCTATTCCTTACTAAAAATAGGAAAGAAATAACGCTATATGAACTGTACAATGCCATCTATTTTTTTTTTATGTTCCGAATCGTGTTACCGTAGTATAATGTTAAAGTACTTAATTTTATTTACATTCAGAGAATTTTAACTGCCAAAAAAAGAAAAGTATGTAATAATGAAATCTATTAAAATTACATTGTTTTCTATTATTTTTCCGCATAAAATAAATAAAACAAGCTCAGTCTTGATTTTCACGTAGTGAATTCGGAATTATAGTCTAGTGTCAACTGTTAATGTCGCCAAGGAGCATATAGATGGCGCTGATAATTTAAATTTAAATTTTACGAAATAAACATCGCGTATTTTTATTTAACGAGAAATTATTTCCTACGTACTATTAAATAAAAAAATAAAAGAGATATATGTAAATAAATTAGTTCAATTTATCTTTTAATCATTACAAATCAACATTTAGATAATAACAAATATAAAAGTAAATTCGAAAATAACATTGTTTCCATTGCATCCGTGTAAATATTTCAAGATTGCTAAATTTTACATAACAACAATATTACTTTAATGTTATGTCGCGTCATGGTACGAACTGAGTGAATGAATGAACAAAGCTGTCAATAAAACATCATACTTGTAACATTATACATAGGGCTCACTATAAGTTTCCGGAACTGGCCACTTACATTAACAATATTTAAAAAATAATTACAACTTTTGAAAATGGAACTCTTTAGCTGTAGAATACAGTTTGTTTCATCTGACGGTCACTTGTTTTTAGAGTGTGGCGTCATTTTAGAAATTGGTTGTCTACATCACCATGGATTTAACTCGTGAAAATTTTCGTATTATGATTTTCTACTACTTCAAGCGTAATTTAACAGATCAGCGGAGCTTCGCTCGGCTTCAAACAGCTTTTGGCGATGAAGCACCATGCAAGACGACTATTTACAGCTGGTTTGCTGAGTTCAAACGCGGTCGTGTGAACCTCAGTGACAAATTTCGTAGTGGTCGCCAGTCCACTGCTCTGAACAACAAAAACATCGATGTTTTGCGCCATATGATCTAAACAGACAGGCATGTGACATACCATGAGGTTTGGGCATCTTTAGGCATAGGCATGAATCAAATACAATCAATACAACACAAACATTTAAGTGTGAAAAAGCTGTGCTCTCGGTGGATCCCACACAATTTCAGTGAGGCTCAAAAAATGGATCGCGTCACTTGGTGCAATGCCATGCTTACCAGATTCAACGAAGAGGTGTCAAATTTGGTGTGGAACATAGTAACAGGTGACGAAACATGGATTTATAGTTACGATTCCAAAACAAAGCAGCAATCGAGCGTATGGGTCTTTCGAGATGAGACGAAACCAACCAAAGTGGCGCGCGTGCAAAGTGCCTCTAAGCGGATGATTGCTTCTTTTTTCGTTGTATCGTGAATAGTGATTGGTACATGACCATTTGTTTGCCGGAAGTTATTGACAAACTCCGTAAAAATAACCGTAAACGCCGTATCATCTTGCACCACGATAATGGATGTAATCTCACACGGCCAGACAGACAAATAAATTTTTGAAGGTGAACAACGTTGACCTTATGAGCCATCACGCGTACAGTCCCGACCTGGCACCTTGTGACTTTTATTTATTTCCAAAAATTTAGAACCAGTTACGCGGTCAACGATTTTCATCACCTAAAGAGGATGTCGAAGAGTATAAAAAATATGTCTCAGAGATTGTCACGGAAGAGTGGCATAAATGTTTTTAAAATTACTTCATTCGTATGAAAAAGTGCATTAACGCTAATGGAGAATATTTTGAGAAGCAATAAATGTATTCCATAGCATTTAAGTTCATTTGAAAAGAGCAATCCCTAAAGTTTCTTGCTCGTTCTTCTCGGGAAGATTAGCGTAGTGAACGAGCAGTAGTTTAAAAAGTAGCTTAAAAATGATGTTTTCAAGTGTAAACATTTTACCTACGGAATACATGATTATTTGACTTAGACTTTGACTTTGACTAATCAAAAACCACAACAATACTTACCGAAGCAATGTGAATAATTGAAGAAAAATGTATGTTCACACAATTATTTATATAGCGAAATGCGAGCAACAGACCCATATAAATGAATTTACAAAGAGGACTGCTCTCTCTGTCTCTCTCTCTCTCTCTCTCTCTCTCTCTCTCTCTCTCTCACTCTGTTGGATCTGCGTCCGCTATCTTGAATATTTGACAACCAACTAAATCATGTTTCCCAAATTGGTTCCTACCCAGTGGGCGCTGACGAGCCCTAGGGGCCTCGGAAACAATTGATGCTGGCCAAAGGGTGCTACCGCATTTGAAAGAAATACCTGAATTAACTATATAAACTACATACATACATAATTGTTTTTCCTTGTGATTTTTTGTGTTAAGTTAATAATAAAAAAATACGTGTGTTCAATTATTTTTTGGTAAAGTTTTAAGAGCCTATGAACTAAATGATGGGTAGCGTTCTTCACCACACATCAGTGAAACACAGTGTGTGTGTAACGCTACATCTAGTACGCTAGTGTACATAGATATCGTTGCCAAATAGATATATATTTTTTGTAAGATGTATGTTTATTTTATGTTTAAATTGGTTTGCGTAATTTTATATTTATTTATTTATTTGCAAACAATGTAGGTACAAAAATTACATAGGTAATAAGTACATACATACATACCCCTTTGGGGTGCAGCAATTTATTATTATTAAATATAATATTAAAATTGTAAAAATAAAAAGAATAGCAAAAAATAATAATAATAACATTTAGGAACTAATACAAATAGGATCTTAAAATTATCATTAATAAACTTTAGATCATAGTATTACATAGACTTAAAATTACTTATCTGAAACTGGACTCTTTTAACTTATAGGAGAGTTCATGAAGTCTCCCACATTGTAATAACATTTACTTAACAAGAGAGACCTCAACTTGGTTTTAAACACGTTGTCACTATTTACTTTCTTGAGGATGTCTGGTATTTTGTTATAAATTAGTATGCATCTATATAACGGGCTATCTCTAAACATTTCCAATCTTGGAGTTGGTAATACGAGCTTTGCGTTTCGACGTGTACTTTCTACGAATTCAATAAGATCCAAATGTTGTCCTGACACAGTTTATACTTATAGTTATAACTTTCTTATAAAAAAACCGATCTCAACAAATCTGTGAAATGACATCTGTTTGCCAGTTTTTAACCGAGAAAGAAAGCCTTTTAGAGTTAGTGAGGTGAAAAGGGTATTTTACTCATATTTACTATTATATTTTACACATTTCATGAATTGTGAATATAATAGCTTTCATTTAGACATATTTGATGGCCTAATGATTGACATTGTGGACGCTGGATACGGAAGTCCCTGTCTCGACCCGGTATGACTAATTTGGACTTCTAAATTGGTTCTGATCTGGGTGTTCTGGAAAGTGTCCCAGAATTCCGTTGCTCTGGTACTCATTGTACAGGAATTCCTTAGTGTAAGACCATGGAATTGATGTGGCTGTCTCGCACGTATTACATACTATATTCTATTATGTAAATATTGACTTTGTTAATTTGTAACATTTTCTTTGTTTCAGGTTACGTTATAGAAAAACTACAAGTGCCACCATTTACCAAGTGTTCTTTACTAGAATTTTACGATTAGGTAAGTACGTAACATAATAATAAGTTTAAACTTTGTGTATTAGTTTTTTAGTTCGGAACTTAGTACGTCGTGTGCATCGTGAGTGTTACGTGTCAGTCTAGTAACAACTCTAGTACACAAATAAATAATGAAGACCAAGTGCGGGTAGGTAGAAAAACGCGGCTAGAAACTAGAAGCGGCTAGATGGGCGCAGTGGCAATACCCATCAAATCTTTGTGTTTTAAAGCTCTGAAAGGCATTGCAACTGTTATGGACAGGCGTGTACCTACCATCAGGCGCACGACTTGTTTGTATATAAAAAATGGTATCATATATAAATAAAATTTCAAAAATACGCACAAAAATACAGAACATAATGTAGTACAATTATTCTACGATTTCAGAGCAAGATAATCAGGGGGCCTACCTCTTAAAACAATATTAATTTAACCTTACTTAGACTTTTCGACGCGCTTCAAGTAAGCTTATTATAATGTTAAAACTATGATGTTTTAGTGGCAGCTTTGTGACCATTCATTCACTCAGTTCGTACTATGACGTGACGTAACATTAAAGTAATATAGTTCTTATGTGAATCTTAAAATAGTTACACGGATGCAATGGAAACAATATTATTTTCGAATATATTGTCTAAATGTTGACTTGTGTACGACATTTTCTTTCGAAATACAGTATGGCCTAAGGTGTTATTAGGATTTCTTTTAATTAAAACATCTAAGAAAGCTAAAGTACCACAATTCTCTTGTTCCATAGTAAATTGGATCTTAGTACTAAAAGAATTAAGATGGTCCAAGAAAGAAGGTATGCTATCTTTAGGTAATATTGTGAAAGTATCCTCAACGTACCGTTTGAAAATCTTCGGCCTAGCTGGGGCCATGGATAAAACTCGCTCCTCGAAGTCTTCCATGAAAATATCGGCAACAACGGGAGATACCGGAGAGCACATCGCTATACCGTCAATTTGTAGGTAGAATTCATTATTCCACAATATATAGGCTAATGTTAGGCAGTGTTCTAATAATTCTGCTTATTCTATGGACATATTATGTTCCCTTAGCTTTCTACGTACAATTTCAATGCAGTATTTTACTTGTAGGTTGGTAAACAGCGACTGAACATCAAAACTGACCATGGCGTCATCATCAGTTAACCGTAGATCTTTGATTCCACTGATGAAATGGTATGAATCCTTCACATGTGTAGAAGTGTTCCCTCTCAATGGTGACAGTACCTTTGCCATGTGTTGAGCCAGTTTGTAGGTTGGTGTGTCAATCTGGCTTACTATGGGACGGAGTGGGGTGTCTACCTTATGTATTTTTGCTAACCCATACAGTTTTGGAGGTTTTACGCAGCAGGGTACAAACTCACTTACATCAAGTTTCAGGGCATCGGAGTGCTTAGATATTAAGTTAGTTGTTGTTTTTAATATCTTGGTGGTAGGGTCTTTCTTCACCTTTTTATACGTGCTTTCATCCGATAGTAAGTCAGTTATTTTGCTGTTATAATCTGACGTATTCATGACCACCGTCGTGTTGCCTTTATCTGCACGGAGGATGAATTTCAATAATACATTACTTGGTTGACAGGTTTGTCATGGTACGAATATGAGTAATATTATAATAAGCTTGCTATAATATAAGCTTACACTGAAATAAGGTTGTTTTTTGAAAGGTTATGGTAGGCCCTCAGGAGATTAACCGCTCTATTGAGTATTAACTTCCTTGAAGGTTAAGTACCTAAATATACTAGGCTTTTTCCTCTCTGTAGGGCTAGCACAATAGGGCGCGACTAGCAGTATCTCACGCTTTTTGTCGCTCTTCTATCGTGGCAGCACTACGGGTTACAACACTATTTTCAAAGAATTGATATATTGAGAGACTAGTGTAGATAATGTGAGTGTATGTCCCTTCGAAATGCTTTCGTAACGACGGAGTCGTTTCGGTCCGCGCCATCCTTAGAGACTCGTAATAACGGTAATAATGCTCTATTGCCAAAAACCCAACAATGGCGACTAAATAAAATATCGTAATGGTTGGTAATAAAACCAAGAACTGAATTTCAAGAAGTGGTCCGTAATTACAGGCAACATCCTCGTCACCATTTCGTCTGTTAGTAACAGACATTGTATTTTCTCTTAGGAAATACCAAACACGATCAAACACATTGCTTTGAATTTCATTTCGAGCAACATTGTGGTTACAAAACAAAAGTTGTCTGTAGGGACACGGTATCGATACTGTACTCGTGATTTTGATGATATTACAGGAACTTTATAATTATTAATTAATACAAATATCGAATACTTAGAAAAAATCTTTCGATCCGGCCGGATTCGAACCGACGTCTTCTAGCATACCTTGCTAAACGCTATACCAACTAAGCCACGGAACGAACCAGCGGACATCACGAATTTTTCTGCGCTTGGGTCGGATCTTTGTATTTGGTTTATCACCGAGTTTTTAGCCGTAACGCCATCTATGAGAAATCTGTGATATTTCGTCACCCAGTTAGATTACCTTTACAGCTACCAGATCCGGCTAGAGATGTCGCCATTCGTTGTATTTTAAATTTTTATTGAATTGATATTCAATTATTTTTATGTGAAATTACTCCACTAGTTTGTTATAATTATTAATACAAAGATCGAACACTCAGATAAAAATCCTTCGATCGGCCGGATTCGAACCGACGTCGTCTAGCATACCGTGCCAGACGCTATCCCAACTATGCCACGGAATGAACCAGCGGACGTCACGAATCTTTCTGTGCTTGCGTCGTATCTTTGTATTTGGTATTTCAACGACTTTTTAGTCCTAGCGCCATCTATGAGAAACCTATGAAAGTTTTACCATCTTTAAAAATAATTGAATATCAATTCAATACAATTTAAAATACGGTGAACAGCGATCTACCCTGCTAAACGTTATACCAACTAAGCCACGGAACGAACCAGCGGACATCACGAGTTTTTCTGTGCTTGCGTCGTATCTTTGTATTTGGTTTATCAACGAGTTTTTAGCCGTAGCGCCATCTATGAGAAATCTATGATATTTCGTCACCCATTTCGATACCTTACAGTGATTTGTTTTAAAGGGACTTGTCTCAGGGTGACGGGCGCAGTGGCAGTGCCCCTAACATGTTTGCGATTTAAAGCTCTTAGTGGCACTGCAATTGTTATGGATAGACGTGTCGCTTACCACCAGGCGCACGACTTGTCTATTCCGTCACTTTTAATTATGAAAAAAGATTAGTATAAGATAAAAAGCATCGTACTCATAAAAGTATATCGATACTTTTGTCCTTTAAATTTGTCCCACTTAAAAACAAAAAATTCGACATTTTCATTTAAATGACGTATATGTAATGTGACGTATTGGTGCACTGTGAATATTGTGAATCTAGAAACAGCAGATGGGATAACAACCCCTTTTTTATTTTTCTTTATTGTTATTTTACTTGCAATTTAAATAGCATGAATTTAGTTAATATTACAAAAGAGTCACGTTAGGCTAACTATTAATATTATTTTTGTTTAGTTGCAACTTTTAATTTATTTACCGCGATGGTGAATGCCGTATAACAAAACGGCACGCAAAGTGAACGCAAAAACCAAAAATGGTTTTTGTTACACCATTAGCAGCCTAGATTTAAGTTCTTCATTTTGTACCTGTTTCTTAGTAAATAAAATAAATAAATGTTTTTGCGCAAATTGTGCTAACACGACATGAGGTATATCTGTTTAATTAATTTAAATCAATTAGTTCGATTGCCACAAAGTAGGAATTATTCGGAACGATACGATATTTGACGAAAAGTACTAATACCTACCAGAATAGTAACGAATACATAGTACCGATATCGAAAGAAAGTACTCAATACCAAAAAGTATCGATACCTTTTCCGTCTCCCTAGCTGTCTTCATAATTTTGTAAAGCAACAATGTCCATACCCGTACGGTGCAATATCGTACATTGTCTATGCAGAATTTTACATGCAGACATCGCGCAGTGTACTCATTTTTTTACACCGACCAAACGCGTATAAATATAACTTGTGAACCAAAGGAATAAACTTTCTTCACTGATAATATCTTATCATTATAAGCTAAGTCGATGTCACATTGTTCCCAACGGCCGGCCAAATTGGTTAATCGAGGCATAATTTAATTTATTAATCTACGTCAACAACATTTTCAATTAATATCGAACAAACGAAACGGCTGACTGTTTTATTCGACCAAGCAAAATGCACATCGCGCCATGTTTCTTTGCTATTGTAAAACATTAAAAACTTAGCACTTTTCTTGTTCATATTCTGTCTTGTTTTAATTACGCAAATGTACATAGCAGATCTACTTGATTGATGAGTCGAGTTAATGGAGAATTAAAGTAATTAACAAAGCACAAGTGCAAGCGAGACAAATAGATTTTTCTCAAGATTACGTCTTGTTAATGACAACGAAAGCAAATTATATTATGATATGACTTTGAGCTAAGAATCTATAACCACAAGTATAACCAGTGAGTATAACCTTCTATGATTGGTAATATTATTAAGGACTATCCACACACATCAGGGCCGTGCCCGGGACGTGGACGGGGCGTGCTAGTTTGTAAGAACTGCTGGCCCGTCCCGGCGACGGCCCGGACACGGACACGTGTGGACCAGTTCATACAAAATATTCGCAACGATATTTTTTTAAGCCCCTGACGGAGCACGACCCGAGCACGTCCCGGATATGTGTGGATAGACCTATATACGTATTTGATTTTGCTCTATTGACGAATGAATTGCTGTCATTATATATTATATGATACCATGTATTTCTCGTTAAGTGAGTTTGTATTCTTTTGATAAATAAATAATTTAAACCATTATTTATACTGGATTGTAGTTAATAATGGTCGATGCAATTTAATATTGACAACTCATACTCACAGCTTTCTATCAAAACCTTCTCCGCCGAATTATTAGAAACTTCTTTGTAGTAGTGGTAGAGC